ATGGAGAAGTTACCTAGGAAATAGTTAACTATTCGGTGCATTGAAAAATATGCTACAATAGAATTACTACTGATATATCGGAAGGGTGCGTGTGATACAGTGGACGGAGGCGCCCTGCAATACACACGTGGAATCGATCCCTGCGCCCATGGTCCACCAGGCCTTCCATCCCTGCGGGGCCTGCGAACTGGCATCAGACTTGTCTGGGAAGATAGTACATCGGTATGCCACCGCGAGTTATTGTAAAGGCCAGATATGCATTCAATCACCTCTAAACGATGCTTAATGAAGTCGAATGCATGGCGCATCCTTCAAGGATCGATCAACGCCGAGCGCTATATCGGATATACGAATAAAGCTTTAGCTTTATTCATATGTCGGATACTCCTGGATGCAAGAAAATAATCCAACAATCTTGAGAGAAGATCGGTATTTAAACACGATGTTTCCAAGATGTAATACTAGCATCGACATTAAATAACAAGTTTCTGCGTTCTTCATGGGCCAGTAAGAGGTTACCATAACATCTACCTGTCGATGGCTAGCGTTTGCGAAGATTTCACCTTCTCCAGATGATTCTAAATCTAGCACGATTTATAAATCCAACCTTCATCGAGGTAGTGAAATATGTAATAGCCCATCTTTCTAATACTTAAACGTTCCTCGACCATCTAAATAGTATACATCGATGCAGCACTTGCGCAATGGAGTTCTTGGGCATAGCGGCACTTTACAGAAACGTTTCGAGTGGTTCAGTAAGTTAAGCCATCCTCGAGCACTTCAGTGATGGAAAAACTACCGTCAGTAGTCCGAAAATCACCTTGGGCGCTATGCGTTAAATATTAAGCGAAATACTGGCTGCAACGAGAACCACATACCTTTAATCAAACACAATTACTTACGCTGGGCGCTAAGAATGAGGTACACTAGTGTTCTAGGGAGTGACTAATACAGTCCAGCCAGTTTATTTCCAACATATCACTTATATCACTTGAAACCGTTAATCAACAAGTGATTCTCGTGAAGTTCAGTAAGTGAGCTCTGCTTCTTTAAGGGAAAAACATCGTTCTTTCCGGAAAAGCCCTTTGTTTTACTAGTTACGATGGTAAGAACAGATTCGGCAGGCGCAGCGTCGATCTATCTTAATTCTCAGCTTCGGTGACCATGTTAACAGAGTGAGATCCAGAATTATAACAATTCGACAACCGGGAGCATCTCGTTGCCACGTTGAGGCGGTAAAGCATTGGAAGACTTCTACACATGACATTAATGTTCCGAGACAGGTTATATGCGTACGCGAGCCTCGAAAATGAAATTGGATAAAATTCAATTGGGAAGTATTGAAAAACTGCAAGAATGAAGTAAATCCGCCGTAATACATAAAGGATAAAGGATAAAGCTATCGGCTTTGATCAATTCCTGGGGGATGCGCCATGCAACTGCGCTACACGCGCTGTATTATACCACTCTATAGCCCATCAATTTGACTCTTTTCGCTTTCCAAGCAGTTTTACCAGTAAAAATTACTATTCTAAATTGTAAATTCTAAAATTTTATTGATATCTCACGATGTTTTCCAAAACCATGCAGCATTATTTAAACATGTGCATGGAGAGATGCGGCAAACACTGCAAAAGCCAATCTTCTAAACGCCACTGACCTACATAAACGCCCGCGCTAAAAAACACACATTATGTAGATCTAAAATTCCTTTGACATTGTGTAAATGCTTTTCTCTACCGCACCTAATAAATATATTTGCTGACTTACAAAGTCAAACTTCAATACAACCATCACCTTTACCGGTCGCAATTTCGAGACAAGAAAAAAGGCTTTTGAAGATCTACTGTGAAAAGCTCAAGTGGACAGCAAGGAAGCCTCTTGATCTCGTTTTCGACTGGAACTGACCCCTAATGGTTTTCTCTCTAGGCTATTTTCAGCAATTGATAGAAGTGTAAGAGCATTCCAGCTAAGTAGTACTCTTTATCTACTGTTCGACGGTACACACGTAATTCGTTTCACAAAAATCAAACGAGAGTTATTATGTGGGAAGAGAACTTGATCGACTTTCGAAAGTTTCTGTCGTACAGCATCAGTGAGCTTCTTATGTTAAGCAGAACAGGAGGCTGCGGTCGTAATAGTTCCGTTCAAGAATTTATATCATTTCCAAGTTCATAAGAAAAGCAAAAGAACATTCATGAAGTTGACGCAAAGTGTCCATATAAGAGCGAAGCAGCACTTAAAAGGATAGACAATGATGCTTACTGAAGTGAACCAAATTCGCAATGAAACTTCTCTCTCCAACAAGGTATCGTCGAAAAACTGTTCTCCATAGAGATGAAAGAAGTCGGAAAAGCAATTCGTCGCAGGTGCTTCCTTATGGTGTAATACTGAGAAGATACGATATCCAATGCAAAAAAAAAATCGCGATAGCCAAGCTTGTCCAAATAGCAAGCCACTCCTGCCTGGTTGTAGTCAAGGACTGCCGTCAATTCTTATGCGATAATATGGCCAAGTCGTTCCAATTGAAAAAAAAAACCATAAATGAAGGATTCACGGTAATTTTCGAGTTTTTTTTTAGTTCTATTCACCGTTGCTCAGCGTATTAAAGAGACATCTAAAAAAGCATTGAAACTGATCCTTACCATGTAGATATGGGCTGTAGATAAAAAAACCATGTTAGAATCAATGTGACCGTTGTCGATACTGCCACTGACGGTGGAATGGACTCCATTAAATCATAACTGTGGAATTTCCTAAAAATCCAAGAATTAAAACTGAAAAATTAAGTAGTTGTAGCACAAATAACACAACATAAACATGAACACAGAAGTGTTAGGCTAAAAAATAAAGCTTTGCAACAACACCATCCGGGTCCTTCGTTTTGCATGTATCTCAGCTAGTTCTATTGATCTTCTTGCCATCAGCAATCACCCCATCCGGATGGTGTAGTGGTGAAGTGCGCTGCTCCCCGGTAAGGACAACAGCGCGTGTTCGTTCCCCACTGCATACACCTGTGGTCCGGAGTTTTGCAGGTATCTCAGCACTTCATACGAGTTATATTTCACAACATACCCTGTCATTAAGAAGAAAAAGGCAGTAAATAAAAGAGTTAAGATTGTGATTATGACGAGGCCTCAGCTTAACTGGGTTCAATGCCGATATTGGCTCCCCAGATCAATCCCGTTGACGGGTGATTGCTGATGGCAAAAAGATCGATAAAGCTTTGCAACGTTTAAAATACACAGAAAATAACAGTGAATCATTGTATTAGAATATATTGGTCAGCCATCAACAACTATATAAAATGCTTCAGCCATGGAAATGCTTACTCAGTATAGATTCCTCTTCGACTCCTAATAAAGCAAACCGAGTAAGAAACAACCAATCAGCGCTTCTTTATTCGCACTAGAAAGACTTTCTGAAGCACATTCTTACTACAGATAAAAGTTGAATCCTTTATAGGAACCATGCTCACAACTGTCAGCGGAGAATTGTCATCACACATTCAGAAACACAGATCCTCACGACAGTGCTTCTTGTGATGCTACTGGGCCTTGAAAGTAACGTGATAGTTATAGCCTCTGCCTATGGAAACCATTGGTGGCTAGGATGATTAACTTCAGAAATTGGAAGACTTTAATTTAAAATAGTGACCCAAACAGAAAATGTATCTTCCTCACATAACAACACTCGTCAACACTCTATGATGACAACTTGCTAAATAATTTCGGAACAAAACTGGAAAACCCTACGCCATCTCGAATATTCTGCAGGTTTTTCGAATTCCGTTACAGTCCATTTAAAATCACCACTTAGACAAGGCAATCGATAATTGGAGAAGAGATCAAAAATGCCACCAAGCATTCTTTCGCTCTAAAATCGTACCTCTTCCAAACAAAAAGCAACGACAAGCGCGCTAGCAACATGGGCTCGATAATTACGGTGGTGCTATTGTAAAGTGAAATTACACTTTCATACTTTTCAAAACCGACCATCATTAACTTCAGAATGACCAATCACTAAGTTTTTATACCGTTCAGTTTACACAAGGTTTTTTATGGAAGTTTATTCTAACGTTCCGACGTCTTCGTCTTCTTCAGAACCGGACTGATCCGAATCGATTGTCCAGAGGTGTCCAGAGGTGAAGTCCTCATTTGATGTGATGCAGTTTAGAAAATTCGACTGGACACGACCAAGAAGATCCAAAGATCCATATTGCGAGGACGAATGGCTGAGAACAATCGACTCCTATCATTCGGTCTCTAAAGAAGATTATAACATCTTCGTGTAAGAAGCACAAACTAAAAACGATATTGTGCTTGTAAATTTGGATATCCTGTCTTCATTATTTTTGACGACCCAGCATATTTTCCGTTTGTCCGGATCCCTCGTAATCATCTTTGATGGTCTACCTTGAGTACATTTATGTCGCCTCTACTTTCCTGAAACTTACAAGTCGACATGTGACTTCAAAGGTTGAGGTGAATCACAAACATTTATGCCCATCTTAGATTATGTCGCGCTAGACAACATCAGCATCCTATAGAGACCACACCACTGTTTTCTATGCCAATCTGTCAATAAATTTTTTCTTCACATGATCTATTCATAAATGTCCTCGAAGAATATTCTTCTACGTCTTAGAAAAAAGTTAAATTTCGAAGGTTCGAACTGAGTAATTTGGGTTGACATTATAATATGCCGAATCACCACTAATCACTTCGACACGGTATATCACCGAGAGTTCAGTATTTCGAGTTGCAAAATTTTCAAAAAATGCTGTGAAGGTTCTTCAACTCTTCAACCAAATAATTGAGGAAAAAAAGGAATAATCGGGGAAGATTGACGGTGTGAAGCATTATAGTGCCAAGCTTAGAAAGGTGACCACTTCTGTACTACATATATGACAGCATAAGCGTCACCTCTATTTGGATTTTTTATTTTCAACAATATTTTACCAGTTCTTCCGCTGCAGAGTCAAAATATTTCCTAGATAATCAGTCATAATGCTCATTCCAAATATCAACATCGAAAAAAACCTTCAAAGTCCCTACATTCATTGAATGAAATGAAAGAAAACTCACAGAGGTAAGTATCTGCAAATTATGCACATAAGGGTGAGGTATGCTAATTTGACAAACAAGGATGTGTTCAGGTGTAGGATCAGCCATATACAAAAGTACATGAAGAACGGAAAGCACCAGAGAATCCGTCGCGCAATATTCTGAAACTGGATGAAATAACATAGGAAGAAACCTGAAGAATCACAAATTGGTCATGTTTTGGATCTAATAAGAGGGAAAGAAACAAAGAATGCCAGTGAGCATCGAATTTCAACACAATCGAAGAGCTTCTCCGAAGTTCTTACCGACGATGCATACATAAGACGTAGAAAATATTTCTCTCGATGACCCATAAAGTCTGAATACCTTGCTCTCGGTCAATTTTTGACGCCAGGTGGAATTCTTGAGTCCTTTCTGTCGAGCAGCCAACTCCATACGAGAGATGAGTGCGTTGTCACCACGACGAACGGCGATGTCCAGAGCCGTTTCGTTGTCGCGATTCATTGCAGCCAAATCGCATCCAGCTAAAGCGTAGAATTTTCTTCTCACCAATTAGTAATAGTGAAATAGTAGCAACAATAGTAATAGTAGTAGTAATAATGATAATTGGAATAAAAATCTCCAATCCTGTCGAACACCGGAACTGCACTTTAACCAGTAAAAAACTTCAATGGAAGCATAGTGCATTGATGATTGTAGTTCACTGATAACAACAAGGAAAAACTGTTTGGATTTGCTTCATAAACCAAAAATATGCGTATACTTTTGTTAAGGACAACTGGAAACCAAAAAATATGGAAAGTCGTAAAACCTTATCAGTTTCCGTAAACAATTAATTTACCTTTCAAAAGAGTATTCACAGCAGTAAAATTCCCATTGGTAGCAGCCCAATGAAGAGGTGTGTTGTGATAGGTTGCGTCGGATTTGTTGACGTCGGCACCCAGAGTGATCAAAAGTTGGAGAGGATCGATTTGAAGACACTAAAATCCTACATCCCGTATTCCATGAAATGAATAAACCATGAGTGAGTTCCACAATACAGAGGTGAAAACTGGCTTTCGCAGTTAATGAGTGAGCTGCCTCGTGCGTGCTCAACTTTTCCCACTCATCAGTTATGAATTCGGCCAATCATGCTTTCTGTCAACATTTCCTCAGTTTTTCGTTTGTTTTTTGTTAACATTTTTTTTAAAGTGCTCAAGATTATGCATGCGATAATAGCATAAAACATTGAGCAGATACACAGCACCCCAAACAACTCACCTTGGCCGCCGCCCACATCGCTGGTGTTATCCGAGACTCATCCGGAGCGTCCACAGATTGCCCTCGAGCTATTAAATAGCCGACTACTGGTGTTGCACCGAACTGAGCCGCTACGTGTAATGGCGTGAAACCTTCATAAACATGCAAATTTTAATGAAAAACACATCAACTATTGTTGTTATGAAGAGAAAATGAACCTTCAACGTCTCTTTTTTCCATCTCAGCACCATTAGTTACCAGAAATGCAACCATTTGAACATGACCTTGTCTGGCAGCCCAGTGAAGTGGCGTGGATGCAAGCACACCGCCGACAGCATTCACATTCGCCTGTCGCCGAAGTAAAAGCTCAGCTACCTGAGCGCGAAAGTGGTAAGATAAAGCAGCGTTTACAAGTAAATTACTCTGATGATACTAGGTGAAAGATCGTATAAAGTAGTTTTCCAGAGCTCCACATTTGTACGGAAGTGCAAATACTCATATTTTTCAATGATGCTAAGATATTGGCAAAACTCCGGACCGCAGATGTCTGCGGTGGGAGACGAACGCACTATTGTCCTTTCCGGGGAGTAATGCGTTTACCACCACACTAAGCGGGTCCTTCGTTTCGCCTGTCTCTCAGCTCGTTCTATCGATCACTCACATTTTTGTTCGAAAAAAGCCAACTTTTGCCTTCCCATGTTTGAAAAACTCTGGGTTAAGCTTGTGTCACTATTGAACACCTGCTACAGCGAACTTCCTGTTTAACATCGAACTCACACGAAGTCGATTATTGATGGCTGCCCAGTGCAGAAGAGAACAATCATCAGAATCAGTCCAATCAGGGGTTATGGTACCTTAAATGCAAATTTTAGAGAAACTACTGCTAGCAGGTACCGCCCGACGTCTAACTTTCAGTGGTGGTGGCCACCGGGACGATGCCTAGTTTCTCGTTGCTGCGGGCTTGCTAATTTTGTCCGGCATTCGCTACCAGTACAAAAAGAGCGATATTAATCTTCGATAATGGGAGAAAAAGACTAAAATACTTAAAAAAGGAATTTCGTCTATTGTTCTAAAGATATATACGTACTTATTTACTATGTGTTACAATATGTTCGCATTCTTGTGACGCATGAAATTTCTTTATTGCGCGTGTATCATTACTAGCTCTTTTTGTCCTCCTGTTACTCCCAATAAATAATAAATATATGCGTGCTAATTACTTGGACACTCAGATGGCCCCTCTTCACTGGTTGTGCGGGCCCCCGCACAATTTTAGTTTCTTTGGAATTTTTCTCATCTAGCTATTGTGGTTCCCTAGAAGTCCCCAGAACAACCTGGCCAAAGTCTGCCCAGGTCGTCACTACCCCAAGCAGTAGTCGCCCTCGTGGATCATAGGGAGACTTGCCGCTATGCGACTAGTTTAATACCAGGACGGCGGTGGATCGTGGTATTGGTTTACTCCTAGCTGGTCTTTCTCACGGAAGCGCCGCACTCATTCTCAGCCATTCTCAGCTTGGTAGACCTTGCCAGAGGGATGAATCCCCCCGCTGTACATCGCAGCCCGACACCCATGAATACCTCGCAGCCACGATGATGCCGTAAACCGTTAGGAGGTGTATGTTAATTATATAAATATATTACATGGCGTTATATTATATATATTTAACTACTATAACTATTTAAAAGTTTTACAATATATGATTTGAATACATTTCATGCCACTACATTGTGTATCATATATATATATATTATATACATATATATACACATATACATATACATACATATATATACATATACATATATATACATATACATACATATACATATATATACATATATATATACATATATATATATACGAATACATTGACGAAACGGGTAGACCCCTCTGTGTCCGCATGAAAGAACACCTAGCCGGCAAAAATAGACCAAATGCGAAAAACTCTCGAGGCACTCTGGATTAATTCCAGAAATCCGAAAATGAACCGCAGGGAAGAATGCCTCATTATCACGCGTGATATAGGGCAGTATATAAAACTGCTTTTCTGATGTGAGGAGCACATTATACTTCCACGTGATTTCTATGCGGTTGGTCTCTACGTGACATACTTAGTGGAGACCTCATAGAAAGCGGTGAGTGTGCAAAGCTGTGTTCAATGTGATTGAAATCTTGGTTTAGAGTTTCTTTGTTTGGTTATGGAGGCGTCTGGCCGAGTGGATTGCTATCAACTTGACCTTTCCAGGCTCTGAGGAAGAAAAAGAAATCCGCCGAAACGTCAGCTTAATCGTGAACAAAGAATAATAACACCTCGCGTTTGCTCAACAAAAATACGAAGAAAATTACTTGATCAATGCCGAGGTTAATAGAAAGTCGGTCGTGGCAGTTATATATATATAATTTGAACGCTTTAATATTCTCCACGTCACTAGTGTACAATTGTTATTGCCATCATGTTGCTATTTTATACTGTTTGTACAAAAGGCTTGACTATCTAAGTGAGATTCACACTAGGGCAACCATGAAGTGATGCACACATAGAGAAATGCTGAGTGTTAACAAAAACGACTATGACGATGACGATTGGTCAAATATAACAAGGTCATACGAAAACTGCACCTTCGATGAAAGAAGACATCCCTATGGATTATTTGTCCCTGTCTCCCAACGGTTTATCGCCTCATCACGGATGGGAGGTGTATCTGGGTGTCGAGTTACGATGTATAGCAAGGGGCTCATCCTTCCAGCAGGGTCTCCTGCGCTGAGAAGGAACCCGACGTTTCCATCCTGAAGACCAGCTAAGAGTAAACCAATACTAGGAATTACCACCGTCCTCGTACCAAACTACTTGCATGGTAGCAAACCTTTCTCTGATGCACAAAGGCCGCAACTGGCTAGAATGGTGATGACCTGAGGAAGGCTGCAAGTAAGCTGATCTCGGACTCCAGAGAACCACAATAACTAAACCAGTAAATACGAATTATGCTGAGGCCGGCACAACCAGTGACGACGGGTCATCCATGTAAATAAGTAAGTGAGTATTTGCTCTGATATCGGGATCTGCTCATAAAACAGTCAAATGTATATTGGTATTATCATTTGATCCCAGTAGTTTACTGGAAGAAAATATGTGATTTTCAAAGAACTGGATACGTTGCACTGAGCGCTGTAAGGTCTTTTTAAATTACTATGACTCTAAATTAGCTTCAAAGCTGCGAATATGCTGCGAAAAATTACTGATCAATGCCGAGGTTAATTCAGGGAGGATTCATAGCAAATATATCAGAAGCCTCAAATACGTTCCATTTAGACCATTTAAAATTTGCACGAAAGGTGCAAAATTTTTGCCAGTAATTCATAATTCTATAAATAATAAAACAAAATAAAGCAAAACAAAATAAACGGGAGGATAATAGTAGAAATAAAACTACTATAATGTTGAGATAACGTGGTGTGGTGGTGAACGCTTTACTCCCCGGAAAGGACAATAGCGCGTTCATACGCAGACACCAGCGGTCCGGAGTTTTGCAAATATCTCAGCATTATAGCAGTTATATTTCGCAAAATACCCAGCCGTTAAAAAGAATAGGCAGTAAATAAAAGGTTAAGTAGAAATAGAAATAATATAATAACAGATAAAAAAGGGTAGAGCTTTCGGTGTTGATCAATCTCTGAGGGATGCGCCATGCATACGACTTGAACAAGCATCGCTTGAGGTTCTCAATGCATATCCGGCCTTAACAACGACTTGCAGTGGGCCACTGATGTATCTAAACAGTGTTGCTATCCTCCCAAACAGGTATCGCACCAATTTGCCGACCCCGGAGGAATGTAAGGCTTGTTGAGTCCGTGGCGCGGGATTAAACCCATGTGTATTGTAGAGTACCTCCAACCACTGCGGTACACTCGCCCCTTATAAAATAGAATAAAGTTAAATAAAATATGTGAAAAATGTTAACTATGTATGAAAAGAGTAATGTGTGCGCAGAAATTCAACCATGTGCAGTGAAAATAAAGGGCCGTGGTATAAAAAGTGTGACGTTCACAGTGCCATGTGAATAAGAGACCATGAAGCAGTTTTACAGCAGGGATGAGTGGAGACTTTTCTGGTGCTTAATCGAGCTACTCGATGATTGCAAGGGTTAAAAGTGAGATATCTCATGAGGGCACGTTGTAGCGAATGATTAAAGCTAACCTGGAATGCCCACGGGATCGGCCGATGGTCATACTCTATGTGCCGAGTTCACTAAGCCTTCCAATCCTCCAAGGTGGGGAAAATGGTACCAGATTTGCCAGGAAGGATAGCATTGCTGAACTGATGCTTCATTAACACTATCGCTATGATGCCTAATTTCGCTTCCCTGCTGAGATGGAAGACGCCTAATTTGCAATCTTCATACAGTTGCTGGTTTGTTAAACAATAAACAATAACTTTTTGACAACTGGAAAACATGGCAGGCTATGAACACGATGTTTGTAGAGGTACATGAGACCTTGCTCTATCGTTATGTGTGTATGAATGATAGGAATGGTGCGATTTACTATAGGTCACTAGCGTCCATCAAACAATTACAGAAACACTGCTGTCAGCCACAATGGTGCTGAGATATAACTTCAGTGATGCTGAGATATTTGCAAAACTCCGAACCACAGGTGTTATGCGGTGGGGAACGAACGCGCTATTGTAAAATGGTGCTGAGATATTTACTAAACTTGGAAAAGCTTAGTTCAAGTTTAGCAAATATCTTAGCACCATTGCAATTATATTTCACATAACTCCCTATCGTTAAAAAACATGAGGCAGTAAATAAAAGGTTAAACTGCTGCTACCAGCGTTTGGAAGTGCTTTGCAGCTTATACGCTTCTATTTCAGCATATTCAATATATACCATAGCTATGATTCAACATTGCAATTAGAATTGAAATAACAGCCTATTACCACACAAATCCCTTGTCAGTGAACTCGCTCGGAAAACGGTTTTCCGTATATTTCTAAGTGTATGATAGAGATTTTCACAACTAACGCTCGGCACAACAGGTGTTCTACAAGCTATTAATTGACTACAACAACTGTCGGCAGTTCCATGTTTTAAAATAAACCACCAGAAAGAAAAAGAAACCTATAGAAGTCATACCGACCAATTCGGGAACTTCGAAATGACTCCCACAAGGATTACCCGTCGTGAGAGCGTTAATCTCCCACGAGTTCCTGTGAAAACTGAATAGAGATTCAATCTGTTCTACGGTGCCTACCAAAGGTGGATGCACAGAGCATTCCTCTAGGTTTGACCATGCTACACGCTTTTAACCTTTATAGACGACCAAACAAAATTCATACCACAAAATTTACTTCGCTGACTGCCGCTCTGTTGGCTCAGCACGGCCTTTTCATCAGTGTTCAAGCTTTCTCAGTTGGTTACTACTGACAATCCATGCAGATCAGAGTGGGATTTGCCACCTTGCAGCTAGATTTTACTTAACATAGTGAGGACTCCCTGTGTCCTTCATCTGACAACATAACGACTTTGGTATAAAACAGTTATGATCTTCCTATTTTTCCCCCTCAATATCCATCCATAGTGGAGTTAGAATGGCAGAAATTGGACTTCTAGGAACCCCAAGAGAAAGGGTAAGTCTTCCGAATTGAAAAAAATAGAAGCCATTTATATAGCCACTTTCATTTACTGTCCATTATCCTTTCATGGAAAGATATGATGCGTAATATAACCACAATGATGGTGAGATATTTACAAAACTCCAGACTGCAGGCGTCTAGTGTGGGCACTACCCTTTCCGAGGGGTAACGTGTTCACCATCAGGACCACTTACTTTTTGGTCTCAGCAAAAGCATAGCAGAACTGACTAAAAGTATGCGACAAAAATTATGTTTACTGGTAGTTATAACGAATAAAGAAATTGGTTGCGAAAAAATCTTTTGCACAGTCACCCACCAATATCAAGTAACTGTTGGAGTCTCTCAACATTTCCATATTGTGCTGCTTCACGAGGGTCCATAGCAAGAATTTTGAGATATTAGCTGGATTTCATATGTATCTGTAAAGTATTCCACGATTTGTTATAGAAGCTGATTACGGCAAAATGAAGCAGAAAATGAAATGGAAGCGTGTCGACATAGTTACTACAACAAAAATGAAGGCAATTGTTCGGCACATACGATTGCACTTCATCATTGGTGCAAACGACAACATTTACAAAAAAAGCTGCATTCAGTGCGTTATAAATCATTGGTAGAATGTGTGGTCGTATCAAAATATAGTAATAGACAGTAGCTTGCAGTGGAATACTGCGTGAACGGAATTGAATTCTTATAAAGAATTACGTAAGCCCCTGAAGAGATTCGGAAAGTACCTAGAGGACTTGGGGAGTTGTAACATGATATATTTATAGGAAAGACTTTGCCTCACTGATCTAGAGGTATTAATGACGAAAGGATGAAGCACCTTCACAGTTGATCAATCTCTAAGTCATGCACCACACACTCGACAATGCATGTCTGGCCTACACAATGCCTTGCTAATGTATCAAGTCAGTGCTTTCTTTATCCACGCAGACCAGTTTTATGCCAATTTCCGAATGCGGAGGAATAGGGGCTTGATTTGTTTAGTACGGTATCGAACCAAAGACTATATATAGGTAGTGCAAGGCACATAACCATTGCGCTACACGCACCCCTAACGAAATTGATAATGGAAACAGAACATCGTGAAAATCCGATGTAGGCAAAAATTGTACTATTGCAAATAACATCGAAAAAGAGAAAAATGATGACCAAATGGAGATAGTTTTCTAAAAAGTGATCGATCCTTAAAATATGTGGTGAAATAAAAGGAATAAACAAAATCACCGATAGTTCCCAGGATCGACTTTCTATTAACCTCGGCATTGGAATATGAATGCGTCGTTTTCTTGTTCAGCAATCGCGAGGTTTTTAAACAGCATACATTTACTTCCATAGAAAAACACAATACAATACAACACTAGCTGACGTTTCGGCAGTATCGCCTTCTTCAGAGCCGCTTTTCCGTCGACTCAACCACATGCGACTATAATCAGCTGTTCTAAACTTCCTCATTGGAAGTCACGAAAAAGCGGCTCTGAAGAAAGCGATACTGCCGAAACGTCAGCTAGCGTTGTATTGTATTGTGTTTTTCTATGGAAGTAAATGTATGCTGTTTAAAAACTTCGCGATTCCTGAACAAGAAAACGACAAAATCACCAATGTTACCAGGGATAAAAAGTATCAAAACGGTCCTGGAACTGAGCGATTTCTATTGAAACCACCTCCGCCCATGCAGAGATTTCCAGTTCGAGTGTGAGTGTAACGTAATGAAGCGCAGCAACTTATGTGAATGGCACCATTTCATAAGATGTATGATAAGGAAAATTAAATACGATAAACAGAAAAGAGTGTACAGAGGCATTTCAGCTTGGTAGCAACAACTCGGCAAAGTTCAAGACTGGCGAAGAGAAGAGAATCATTCAGTCAGTATGCAAATTATTGCAACAGAAACGCCGTTAACGTTAGACATTTATTCACATATTGGCGCACGACGCAGCGTTCAGTAGCCCTATCGCGTGGGACGACACCTAACCTTTTCTGGTTTTCTAACAATAAACAATAATTTTTCCATAGTGAGAAGACTACATGGTTGTGACCACTACAGGATTGTAGAAGAGACTTTGCTCTATCGTTTTATGAATATGCGTGCTTTATACGTCTCTACTTAATGCATGGTATATCTTGCAAACATGCTATCAACATTTGGACATGTTTTTCAACTTATGGTACTTCTATTTCGCCATTTTTTATAACAGCGCATTATATAAAATAACCATGATTCATCGTGTCCTTCGTCTAGTGTTCTGTCACTCCTGTTTAGGATGACTCGAGTGAAAAGTTTGTAGACGATAGACAGTAAGCAGATTGGGTGAGTTGCCGATATCGTGCAGGTCACCCTTCTTGAACAATAACACGGTCTTGCTGGTTTTCCACTGAGTAGAGACCTTGCATTCAGACAGGTAACGTGTGAAGAGCTGAGCCAGTGTGTTTACGAGGACTGCCGGAAGGTTTTTCAGGTGTTCTGATCTTATCCTGTCCAGAACTGGTCCTGTTCGATTTTTCACCGACGAAATGGCATGTCGGATTTCGGAAAGAAGAACCGGTAGCACAACATATCCATCTTCCTTTATTTCATATGACGAAAGGTGGACATGGCTATTGAAGAGATCCGAGTAGTATTCGTGAATGATTTTCTCCACTGCCTTTCTGTACGCTGTAACTCTTCCGTTTGGGCGCCGGAATGCAATCATTTTGGCCATATAATTGGCGAAACTTCGGTGGGCTTGGCTTGGTTGGCTGCAGCTCATGCGATTCCACGCTTACGTATCAGCTCCAGTGCTTCTGGAGACAAACCTCTCTTGGTGACTTTCGAACTCTGAGCTTTCATAGCGCTAGCGCGAAGATGTTGAATGAGCCGGTCGTATTCTTCGTCGATGTTATCGACAACGGCATCTTCCCAACAGCCGACTACTGAATTAAATAAATCCCAGGTTACGGCGGTTCTAGGATTTCGCTTTTGGAATATAGCAGCTTTTTCTCCTTTTCGCAAGAAATAGAAACTTTCACGAAGGAGACGATGGTCTGATCCCGTGTAGAATTTTGGGACAACAGCGACATCGACCAGGCAAAACCTTCTATTTACTATGATGTGGTTTATTTCGTTATGGTACTCTCCATTGGGAGACTCCCACCTCCAGCGCTGAGGGTGGGGCTTCTGGAATTGCGAGTTATCATGGATTGTTTTGGACGCCATGATAAACTCAGATAGCCGCTCACCCTGTTCGTTCCATTCTAATCTGTGGGTCCCAATGTGACGTTCTTCAGAAGTTCTTCTTGGTCCAATCTTCGCGTTGAAATCTCCAATGATGATCTTGAAGAATGTGTGGTCTTCTCTGTAGAACTTCTCCAAGTCCATATAGAATGCTTCGACTTCTTTTTCATCATAGCTTGGTGTCGGCGCGCAAACGACGAAGATTGTCAAAGCCGCCGGTATTGATCCACATCTTTTTAACCGTGAACGTCCGAACAGGGAGTCCATTTTCTGAATCCACCTGCGTCTCAGGGAAGCAAAGGTCGCTTTTCGTCCGCGATTAACCCCCTATCCGCCACCTGAGGACGCCCTACGTAGCCTCGCGACTAACCGGCTCGAGATCCCTATAAGGGAAATCCATGGACAAAAAAATAAATTTCTCTAAACCTCTGAAAGGAAAACTGGTACTGTAGCTCCAAAACAAGAGTATGTAGTTTAGAGGTGTCCTGCAATACACACCTGGTCGTTGCTACAACCTTGCGCCCTGGAATCAACAAGCCCTCCATTCTTCCGAGCTCGGCAGATTAGAACCACACTTGTTTGCGAGGATAGCAGCACTGATTTGATATAATAGTAGGCCACCTAAGCCACTGTATAAGACAGTTGTGAATTGAATCACCTCCAGTGATTCTTTATGAAGTTGAATGCACGACGCATCCTTCTGGAGATTGATCAGCGCCATAAGCTTCATCCTTCATTCAGTTATGTGTCCAAATCGTCACACTAATATCATCACATTTAGGTCCAGACGTTCAAACTCTTCCGAATGAGTTAAATCTCATAATAAGTAAGAGCAAATGAAGAACTCTTTTTTGCCAAGAAACAGTTAAAACACAGTCAATCACCAATCACACTATTGGACTGATTCATAAGGGAACAATGCAGTTCGATTCTGTGCTGTTTATTAGCACGGGTAGAAAAGAATATAACACGTACATAGAACGAAAAAGATAGGGAATAACTTACCAGCTGAGTAAATGACCTGCGATCTGTTGCAGTGAAATGAAATGTGTAATGAACAAAGTAAGGTAATGCACAGAATGAGGATTTGGATAATTCTAGCACAATACCTTCGAACTCAATTTAGCTGCTAATAATTCATGGCATTTCCCACAAAGTTTAAAGAACGACTACAAAAAAATAAAATTCTTTTGTGTGCAGGTTACAAAATAGGGCTACATCAAAAGACGTTTGAATGCTCAGTGATCGTATTCGAGACGGCGCTCGTTTTTCGACGACTGACGCTGCTTTCTGGATCACGGCAGTAGTTCTGGAACTGGGAGCTTCACAGACTCATCGAGGAAACTCTGACCTATAGCTCGAAATACTAACACTATGAGGGTGTCATGGTAGAAAGTCATGGATTTTGTTTTTGATTAAAAACTTGTGACATTTTTAACTGGTGCGTAATTAGTACAAAATCGCTAACTCTTCAAGATTGCTACTGTATAATGGAAGGAGACGATTCAACGGCAATGAGAGATCTATTTCACCAAATTTAAATTCAGAATAAAAGTGGACTAGGAGGGAATGGAAAACACATCAGGTGGAATACACACGGAATATTTAATTAAGGAGTATTGCGGAGAATACTCACTTGATACTTGACACACGAATGGCCCGTCCTCACTGGTTGTGCGGGTCCCAGCCTTATCTCTATTTTCCGGAGATTTGATGGCTAAGCCATTGTGGTTTCCTGGAGTCCCGAGGTCAACCTGGCTAAAGTCTGCCCCACGTCTTCACCACCACAGGCAGTCGCAGCCCTTGTGGATCACAGGGAGATTTGCTGCTATGTGACTTTGATACCAGGACGGTGGTGGATCCCGTTGTTGTTTACTCCTAGCTAAACTTCCTGATGGAAACGCTGGACTCCTTCTTAGCTTAGGAGACCCTGCCCAGGGGATGAATCCCCCGTTGTACATCGCAGCCCGATACTCAGGAACACTTCCCGGTCACGATGAGGCGGTAAACCGTTGGAGTATTGGGGAGTATTCGAAAGAATATTCGAATAAATCAAAAAGTGCACCACATTTACACTTATTGGCCATTTTTCAGAAATTCCCCTTCAATGTGAAACGTAAAAAGCAAGTACTACCACTTCTCAAACTATTCAAATACTCAGGC